TGAGCATCTCAAATAATAAAAGTAGAATTTCTCATTTCAGGGTTTATCTTAGTAACTTAAGTAAATAATTACATAAATCAATAAGATACACTAGGGTTCGAGTGAGTATCCCAAACTTGGCATGTCTAAAACTGGCCTCATTTTTTTTCTCAAAAGCAGCATCCTGCAGATTTATTAATTTTTAGCATTTGCAAAGTCAATTGTATTCAAAACCTTAGAATATTCATTCATTTTCCTTTTAACCTCATTTTACACAGTCAGTTATCACAATCTCTTTCCTGTTCCTGTCTATTTCTTATCATGGAATAATGTTGTAGAACAAGTAGGGCCCTTGGCACCTGACTTCTAATCCTGGTTTTACATATAAAGTTCTTAGAGCAATGAATGAATGTTTGTGATCCTAAAGAAATCTGAGCTTCAGTTTTCTCATTATAAAATGGAGATAATCTCTTACAAAGTTATTGATGTCTATAAAATGCCTAGCACATGAGATGTAACGTGATATTTGAGTTCCCCACCCCTTTCTCTTCTCGTCTCTTCTTGTTTGGCCCCAGTACCTAATAACAGCTTGCCATAATAGCTCCTTCTCTCATCTCATGGAAGTTCCTACTCACATGTCATCTCTCAGGGTCTTCCCTGAATGTTCTCAAACAGCAGCCCCCATCTCTTCTTTGTCCCTTATTCTGCTTGCTTATTTGCTTTCTGTCTCCCTCCCTCCTTCTGTCTCTCTCTGGTAATACTAATCAGTCTCCTCCAATATACATAATCTCTGTGAAGTCATGGGGTGTTGTCTATTTTGTTAAATGACTGTATCTCCAACAGTCAAACTAGCTCATTAGTGAATATTTGTAGCTATTGGATAACTGTGTTAAATATCTATGGTTTTCTAGTCACTGCTCTAAGAACTTTATATGCACCACCTCATTTAACCTTCCCAGCAATACTATGAAGCACATTATTGTTATTGTCCTTATCTCCAAGTTAGGAGACTGAGGCTTAGGTTAATTTAATTGTACATAGTCACACAGCTCTGAATGTGGTTGAAATACTAATGCAAATCTCAGATTTGTTACAGCTGCTTTTCAGAGGTTGAACCATGATATTGTTAATATTTTATCATTTTGACTTAGAAAAATGG